TGAGTTATGTTTGCCTGTTTATTTGGATACACTGTTTTTAATAGGTACTCCTTCCTGCCTGCCTTTCTTCCTTCCTTCCTTCCTTCCTTCCTTCCTTCCTTCTGTCCGTCCGTCCGTCTTTCTTTCTTTCTGTCTTTCTTTTTTTGAGATAAGACTCACTAACATAAAATTAATTAGTCATTTAAAAGTGTACAATTCGGTGGCATTTAGTCCATTCACAATGTGGTGTAACTACTACCTCTACCTAGTTTCAACATAGTTTCATCACCACAAAAGAAAATCCTGTACTCCTGTAGCAGTTAAAACTCTTTCTCCTCTCCTTTCGCCCTGCCAGCCACCACTTTGCTTTCCGTCTCTATAGATTTACCTATAGATATTTCCATCTCTATAGATTTACCTATAGATATTTCTAGATATTTCATTGCTATGGAATCATATAATGTGTGACCTTTTGTGTCTGGCTTCTCTCATTTACATAATATTTTTGAGGTTCATCAACATTGTAGCATGTGGCAGTACTTCATTTTTTATGGGAGAATAATATTCCATCATATAGATATAAAACATTTTGTTAATTTCTTCACTTGTGGATATATGTTTGGGTTGTTTCCATATTTTTTTACTACACATGGTTAAATAGCTTTTTTCAGTTCTTTTGGGTATTTACTTAGGAGTGGAATTTCTGAGTCATATAGTAATTGTATGTTTAACTTTTGGGGGATGCTTTTGCATTTTTCCTCCAAGGGAAAACGTACAATCAGAGAAATGGGACCCAGAATTCATGTGAGCCATGTAGCTGATCCAATCTGTGTCTGCCCCACTCAGCTAACCTTTGACCTTGTCTTTAACCTCTTCTACCAGCAGAGAAAGGTGAGCACTGTGGGTCGCTTACACATTTGGCCTCTCTCCTCTAGGGCTTTGTCTGGCTGTCCCCGATAAAACTGTGAGGTGGTGCACCATCTCAAATCATGAAGCCAGTAAGTGCTCCAGTTTCCGTGACAGTATGGAAAAAATCCTACGTGAGGCTGGCCCTCATGTCACCTGTGTGAAGAGAAGCTCCTACCTTGAGTGCATCAAGGCCATCATGGTAAGTCAATGCTGCCTAAAGGGGAGTGGAAGACAATCCATACTTTCTTGGGCTCCTGTTGTTCTGGAACAAGTCTGTACTCACAGATAGGAGGATGATGTGTGAGGCAGTAACCCCCACTGTTAACAAAATCACTTCAGAAATGGAAATAGGAGTAATCATCTTTAACAAGTCTTAAAACAAAATCCAGCATGCTCTGAAAGAGGACTATTTTGAGGCATTAAGTTCTCTGAACTCAAGAAAAAACAAGAATGTTTGCTATCAAAATGATCATATAACATTGTTTTGGAAGTTCTTCATACATCATGGGAATTAGATGAATAATGCTCATAGAGAAGAGGAATTTTTGTGATTGCAGATGATGGCTGATCCTTTGTTTTCTAGACTTTCCAAAATCCTCTTCACTCCTTCGACTTTGTTCTTGCTCATTTAAATGTGTGTCAGACCCTGTTCTGGGCAATAGGGCTGCAGTGGTGAGTTTGAACGCACATAGTCCTTATGCTTGAGGAGCTTACAGTATATGCAAGAGAGGAAAAAAACATGTAAAAAATAGACATGTAATATCAAATTGTGTGACATACAACGAAGAGGAAAAGTGGAATGCTCTGACAGAGACTTTCACAGGAAACTTGCTTTGGCCTGGAAGGGAACAAGGAAGCTGAGACCCCAGGGAGGAGCATGGGTAAGCCTGCCAGGAGCCATGGGTAGAATACTCCAGGCAGTGAACAACAGCATGTGCAAAGGGCCTGAGACGGGGGAGAGCCGGACCTCTTTGGGTTTCTGTAGGGAAGCCAGGGTGACAGCAGCAGAACAAACAGGAGACTGGAAGGAGGGGTGAGGTGGGAGAGGTAGACTGAGCCAGATGGACCTCGATTAACTCAAGGAATTAGTGATTTGGTGCAAACAACTGGTCTGTTCCGTTTTTTTTGTTTTTTTTTGTTTTTTTAAATTGGACCTCAGTTACTGTCATTGCTTAATTATAATATTTGAATTATGACATATGTTTGAATTATGACATATGTTCAGTTTTGGTCCATGCATGCCTCTATTTATTTTTAAATATGTGAATAATATAAAATCATACTATCCATGAATCCACCATAGTTTCTCTAAATTTCATCATTGCCAATAGCTTCTTTCTAGGGCTACTGAGCTGCAGCATTGGCTTCTAAGGGCATGCTGCCATTAGGGTGGTGTAACCCACTGGCCCTCCTTACAATGACCCATGTGTTTCCCCATCCTGAGCAAATAGAATACTAAGAACTTTTTGCCTTTTATTTTGGTTTTAAGACATATAGGTATGTGTGAGTGATTGCATAGTTATACTTCTTAAAAATTTATGAAAATAACATTATTATGTGCTGTCTTCTCACACATGCTTTCCCCTCCTCAATATTATGCTAAAGTTCATCCATGTTGTTGAATAAGCAGCCATTGTTCATTTCTTTTCAGAACTCAACAATAGTTCCTTATGCGAATATACCACGATTTATTTGTTTTTTTTGGTCATTTGGCATTTGGATTCTAATTGAGGCTTAAGGGATATTTTTATACAAATCTCCTGGGACACAAGTATTAAAGTTTCACTTGAATATATACATAGGGGCAGACTTGCTGAGCCATGAGATATGTGAATATTTGACTTTTAAGACAATGACAGACGTATTTGATTTTAAAGCAAATCCAATGTGGTTGTTTCAATTTCCACTTCTACTAGCAGTATATGAAAGAATAATTTATATCATTCTTGGTGAATTTGATGTTTTATCATTGTGAAATCGTCTCTGTCTCTGCCAGTGCTTTTTGACTAAACTTTATTTTTTCTGAAATTAACATACTACATGGACTTTCTTGTGGTTAGTATTCTCCTCCAATATCTTTTAGATAAAATGATTCCTTTATTTTAACTTTCTGTGTGCTTTTGTTTCAGGTGTAACTTTTGAAAACTGTATAATGCTAGATTTTGTTTATTAATGCAATCTGACAATCTCATTTGTTTTACGTGGTAAACTAGACCATTAATAATTATTGTTATTATGGATAAAATTGAACTTATTTATGCCATATTACCTTTTGATTTCTCTTAGTCCTGATTCCCCCCGATACCTGATTTTTAAAAATTGTGTGTGTACATGCGTGTTCATTTGCATTGCTTTCCCTTTCTTCCATTCTCCCACCTCATTGGTAGTGAATTTAAACACTTTATTTATATTCTTTAATGATTTCCCTTAAATTTTTACTATGTAATTTTAGTTTACCAAAGTGTCATAGTAAAATAATTTTGATCTCTCCCCCTTGTCAAATATTAAAAAGACTCAGGAATACAGTAGCTCAGACTTCCCTCTTCCCGGTTTAGATATTAGTATTCAATATTTTATGTCTATTTTTTTAACCCCACAATGTAGATACTTCATATATTTGTAGATACTATATAAATATACATTTATATGTGTGTATGCGTGTTTGTGTGTGTGTATCTATGTATATGTATGTGTATATATACCCAAAAACTCAGAAAGAGGGAGAGAGAGAATATTTGGATTTACCAACATTTTTGCCATTTAATTTGTTTACCATTCTTTCTCATATCTCAGACTATCTTGATTTTTTAGATTCCATATATAAGTTAGATGATATGGTATTTCGCTTTCTCTGACTTATTTCACTTAGCATAATACCCTCTTGGTCCATCTATGTTGTCTAGATTACATTCTTTTATATTGCTAAATACTATTCCATATAATTTCCCATTGTGTGCGTGTGTGTATATATATATATGTGTGTGTATGTGTGTGTATATACACACACACACATACACACGTATGTAATCTCCAATCCTCTTTATCCATTAATCTATTGATGGACATCTAGGTCATTTCCATATCTTGGCTATTACTAGCAATGCTGCAATGAGCATGGGGTACATATATCTTTTAAAATTGTTGTTTTTGTTTTCTTTGGATAAATACCCCAAAGTGAAATTGTTGGATCATATGGCAGCTCTGTTTTTAATTTTTTGAGGAATCTCCATACTATTTTCCACAGTGGCCACACTAATTTATAACCCTACTAATAATGTACGATGATTCTCTTTTCTCCACATCCTTGCCAGAACTTATTATTTGTTGACTCATTGATGATAACAATTCTGATAAATGTGCGGTGATGCCTCATTGTGGTTTCAATTTGCATTTCCCTGATAATTAATGATGTTGAGCATTTTTTCATATGTCTGTTGGACATCTGTATGTCCTGTTGAGAGAAATGTCTATTCAGGTTTTCTTCTCATTTTGTAATAGAATTGTTTGTTTTTTTGTGTGCGTGTTAAGTTGTATGAGTTCTTTATGTATTTTGGATATTAAACCCTTATCAGATATGTCATTTGTGAATATTTTCTCCCTTTTAGTAGGTTGCCTTTTTGGGTTTTTTTTTATACTTTCCTTCACTGTGCAAAATATTTTAGTTTGATGTAGTCACATGTGTTTATTTTTTCTTTTGTTTCTCTTGTTTGAGATTTTTCAAAGAAGATATTGCTAAGAGCTTTTTGTTTGATGTAGTCCCATTCATTTATTTTTGCTTTTACTTCACTTGCCTTTGAGGTCAAATTCATAAAATCCTCTTTAAGTCCAAGGTCCATGAGTTTACTTTCTATGTTTTGTTCTATGCAATTTATTGTTTCAGGTTGTATATTCAGCTCCTTAATCCATTTTAAGTCAATTTTGGTGTGTGGTGATAGACAACAGTCTAGTGTCATTCTTTTGCAGGTGGCTTTCCAGTTTTCCTAGCACCAATTTTTGAAGAGGCTTTTCTTTCTCCATTGCATGTTTTTAGCTCTTTTGTCAAAAATTATTTACCCATATAAAAATGGATTTGCATCTGGACGCTCAATTCTATTCCACTGATCTGTGTGTCCATTTTTCTGCCAATGCCATGCTATTTTGACTATTGTCACATTGTAGTATAGATTGAAGTCAGGCAGAATGATGCCTCCAAACTTGTTCTTTTTTCTCAAGGTGGCTTTGGCAGTTCGAGTTTTTTTTGTGTTACCATACGAATCTGACCCTTTTTTGTTGTAATTCTTTTAAACATACCGATGGGAATTTGTTGGGGAATGCATTAAATCTGTATAATGCTTTAAGTAAAAAAGAGCAATGTCAAAAACTTTACTGCCTATGTTTTCTTCTAGGAGTTTTGAAATTTAAGGTCTAACATTTAAGTTTTTAATTCATTTTGAGTTTATTTTTGTATATGGTATATGGTGTATTTTTGTATATGGTTCATTTTCATTTCTTGTACCTGTTCAGTTTTGCCAACACCACTTACTGAAGAGAATGTTTTTACTCCATTGTATATCCTCATCTCTTTTGTCATTGATTAATTAACTGTATAAGCAAGGACTTATTTGTGGGCTCTCTATTCTGTTCCATTAACCTATATATCTGTTTTCATGCCAGTACCATAGTGTTTTGATTATTTTAGATTTGTAGTATAGTTTGATATCAGGGAGTATAATACTTCCTACTTTGTTCTTTTTCAAGATTTCTTTGGCTATTTAGGGTCTTTTGTGGTACCATATAGATTTAAGATTAGTTGTTCTAATTCTGAGAAGAATGCCATTAGTATTTTAATAGGGATTGCATTAATTCTGTATATTACTTTAAGTAGTATGGACATTTTAACAATATTAATCCTTCCAATCCATAAACATTAGGTATGTCTTTCCATTTATTTGTATCCTCTCCAATTTTTTTCTTCAACATCCTATAGTTCTGAGTACAGGTCTTTCACCTCTTTCATTAAATTTAGTAGGTATTTTATGCTTTTTGATGCAATTGTAAATGAGATTGTTTTCTTAATTTCTTCTGTTTATTCATTATTGGTGTATAGAAATGCAACAGATTTCCATATGTTGATTCTATATCCTGCAGTTTTACTGAAGTCATTTATTAGTTCAAATAGTTTTTTAAACTTTGAACATGCCTAATCAATTTGTTGCCCATCCATTTACTTTTGATTTCGACAGCTGTATTTTTGTTAATTTTTCCTCTTTTTATTCCTGGTAATTTCCATGCTTATGCTTTGTACATAAAACTAAATACTTCATAGGTAGCTCTTTTCTATTGCATCTACAGTTTCAACATACTTCATAGGTAGCTCTTTTCTATTGCATCTACAGTTTCAACATCCACAGCCCTTGATGGCCCAAGTCTGTTTTCCTGTTGATGCCTAAGATCGTGGCTTACCTTCCTTTGAGTTTGGTTATTTGTACTTGAGGGGTAATGCTTGATTTTATTTTTCCTCCTTTCTGTTGGTTTGGGTTCCCCTCAGAATCCCATGGGTAAGGCCTTGGTTCCTTGGTTCCTGAGCCCCTGAGTTTCCAGTGATTCCTGCCCAGAATCCTGGTCTCTTGGCCAAGAAAGCCCCAGTCTCACTGCCCTGGGAAAAGCTTTTGTTTATTTGCTTATTTATTTTTATTCTGTAGGGTGTGGGGTAGCTATGGAGACTCTCTGGAGGTTTTACCTACCTTTTGTGATAACAAGGAAGCCTCAAAGATTGTTTCATATCTGCTGTCTAGTTGTGGAATTAAAGGGTTCTTCACTGCGTGAATGAATATATTTAATGGCACTGAAATGTACATTTAAAAATGGTTCTATGGTAAATTTTATATTATGTACTTTGTTACAATAAAACAACAACAAAAACAATCTCAACAATAAAAAGAAAAGTTTCAAACTATATAGACAAATATATAGTTTGGCTTTCATTATTATTTTAATTCATTTAAAAACTTAACCTGTAACACGACTCAGATTATGGAGCTATAGATTCTGCCTTGTGATTTAATTAATAAGAACTATTCATTGAGAACTGGCAAGGGCTTTTAGAAAAATCATTTTGACTAAAGATATTTGAAGCAAGAAAGAAGGCAATAACATTTGTTATTAAGTGTCTACATAAACAAATAGTGCTTCATGTTTACGAGAAAATAAATTCTAGACCCAGAGGGAAGGCACCTATAATATTTCAAGTGAACTATTAGTTTAAGGTTGAAATTTTGTAAAAGCAGAAACTAAAAACAAAACCAAAGAAGCTCCAGCAAGTAACAGTGCAATGGAAGGAATAAACACATACTGCCTGGATTTAAATCCCAGCTCCATGACTTACTAGCTGTGGGGAAGCGACCTAAACTTTCTGTGGCCTGAGAAGGTGACTTAAACTTTCTGTGTCTCTATTTTTTAATGTGTAAAATACAACTGAGTTGGACAGAGGTGAGCTGTGACATATTTGAGTAGTTGATTAAACAAACAATGAGCCGCAAAGGAAATAATATTCGTTTAAAACTTAGTTCAGAGTAAAAGCAAGAAGGTAAACCCAGAGAAAATGCCGAATCCATGAACGAAAGACTCCTCAGTTACACGGACCCAGGACAGGAAGGAACAGTACGGAGCACTGAATCAGAGTGGAGAAGAGTGTCGTCAAAGCTCCAGTCTCCCACAGGAGGGCTTCACAGTGGCTCCTGGGAAAGACCTCAGCAGAAGGCCCAAGGCAAAGAGGTCCCCAAATGAAAGCACTTGGCCTCTCAATGTAAACACGTACAAGAGCCTGGCAGGCAGACCTGAGTAAGAGACAAATTCCTTCCTTTATGCAGGAGAAATAGGAACATTGTGGCCAATCTCCTCACTAGGGAGGTAAAGTCAACTGAAGCTCATGCTGTGGTATGTGGTCTGGCCAAGTTGAAGGTTTTTCTGGTCCCGGATCCAAGAAGCCCCACCAGTCATGGCCACTGGCAGAGGTTTCGGAGGGGCTTCGTAGAAATGAGGGCTTCACTGGTGTCTGGTCTGTTCCCTTTCAGGCAAATGAAGCTGATGCTGTGACACTGGATGCAGGTTTGGTGTATGAGGCTGGCCTGGCTCCCTACAACCTGAAGCCAGTAGTGGCAGAGTTCTACGGATCAAAAGAAAGTAAGTTCTCCCTGGGGGCCCAGGAGAGAGTTTGTGGCCCTTCTCTCCTGGTAGATGCTGAGTCTTGTCTTCTTTAGGCAGGTAATGGAGATTAGATACTGATGAGCATTCCTCATTTGGGCGTGAGTGAGGAATGAGGGGGTCCTATCGGCCCCCACAGGCACAACTGAAGGACTGGTGCTCCTGACACTGACATTCTGGGCCAGGAAATGTGCTCTCTGGAAAACAGAGTGGGCTGTGTGCAGGCTGACCCAAACCATTAGAGTTTAGGACTGTACAGAGAAGTCTTCCAAGAACCACAGGTCCACAGACAGAGGAGAGACCACACTGGAGCGACCACACTAGAGCATATACTCAGAGCCCCAACAGCCTTGAATCTCTTCTATGAGTAACTTGACTGTCCCTGGCCTGTTTTGGGGGACAGAAAATACTTGGAGTCAGGAATGTGGCCTTTTTGCCATAATTCCAGTCTCCTGGGGGGCTTTGGTGGATTGGTATAGGCAGACACCCTGCAGGGTCAGGGTGGGAAAAAGCATTTGGGGTACATGTGCTGCTGGCCTTCTTGCCCCTGTAGGGCTGCCTGGAGGATTATTACAAATGTCCCCTCTGTGGTCTTTCTTTCCCTGCATGCCTGGAAAAGTTATTCTGATCCCAACCCAACATACACGTGTTTTTTGGGTTCCCCTTCCCTGGTCAGGAGCCCATTAGTGCCGGGCACGGTTTCCCTGTGGCCCAGGTTGAGGGGCTTCTTTCATGTTGTCTCTTTGCAGATCCACAAACCCGCTATTATGCTGTGGCCGTGGTGAAGAAGGGCAGCGGCTTCCAGCTGAACCAGCTTCAAGGCAAGAAGTCCTGCCACACAGGCCTGGGCAGGTCCGCTGGGTGGAACATCCCCATGGGCGTACTTTATTGGGACTTGCCTGAGCCACAGGAAAATCTTCAGAAAGGTAAGCAGGCAAGAAGTTCATGGAGATGTCCCTTCTTTACATGCCGACAGAGGCCACACTGGGGTCACACAGACATGCCATGTGTGTTGCCCCTTGGGTGGAGGTGGGAGGTTAACCAGCTTTAGACTGGTTGGGTCTGCTGCACCAGCAGCCCTTGGGAGGTGTCAGCTGAGTCTACTCTTTGAGCTCCCAACACCCCAGCGGTGGCTGTCCTGAGGAGTAAGGGGAAGGGCATCTGGCCTGACAGAGGGCTCTGGGCAGGGCCAAGATTGCTGGGCCCTATTGTCCACTTCCTGGGTGCTTTCCTCTCTGTGGCTGATGTGTTTCCCATTCTGCTGGAGCTTCCTCTGGTTGCCGTCCGCTGGCTATGAGCTTGGCCTGTACCTGTCCAGGCAGGTGTCCCATTTCCTAGGCATGGCTTGCAAAGGAGACCTGTCTCTGAGCTGTTCCAGTGTGACAAGGCACGGAGGGGAGCTGACAGCAACCTGAGACAGGTTTTTCTTGGTGGCAGGCATAGGCCTGGTTTTGGAGAGGGGGTGGGAAAACGGGTTAATTGGTTTATTTTTAGAAACCCTTGATCTTGAAGAGTGCACACACATAAGGCCAAGCTGGGACCGGTACGCTGGTTTTGTTCTGGTCACTCTCTGTTCGCTCGTGAGCTTGGACTGGGAGCCGTAATGGCCTCTGGCCAGGCTGGCTCATGCCTCATGTCCCATATATCTGTGTTGAGCAGCAGCGTCCAACTTCTTTGCGGGCAGCTGTGTTCCCTGTGCGGATCGGACAGCCTTCCCCAAACTGTGTCAACTGTGTGCGGGGAAAGGGACAGACAAGTGTGCCTGCTCCAACCACGAACCGTACTTTGGCTTCTCAGGTGCCTTCAGGTGAGTGAGACTCCCTGCTCCTCCCCCTCACTCTAAAGATGGAGAAACTAATGCCCATGCAGTCAACGGCGCAGACCCCCACCCCCACACCCCACAGCACAGTGTGAGACCCAGGGCCCTGAATCCTCTTTGGCCCATCCTCGGAACCATCGTGAGGAAGAGTCTTCTGTGTGGGAGCCCCTCATGTCTCCCCAGAGCCTGGTCTGCCTATGTTACCCTCTCCAGCCCTCCTGGAGGACAGAGGGGCCAGACTCTTCTCTGGGACTCTGGGATCCCCAGACACAGGCTTAGGCTCCCAGCTGGCTTAAAGTTCAGGACCTTCCAGCTTACTTTTTTTGGCCTGAGCCTCTCCCTGTGTCAGGGACATGTGTTTGCTTCTCCCACCCTCCTCTCTGCCCCGAAGACACCTCTCCATACTCCATGCTCAGTAAGAGAAATGGCTACTGCTCAAAACCAGAGCTAAACTGACTAGGAACCCAAGGCTATCCAGAGTTTTTATCCTCCATGTAAAAGCCTTTAAACCTTTATTTACAAAAAAAAAAAAAAGTTTCTTTTGACTGCCTTTGAAGACGAAGCCACGGGTCCTGCTTTTGCACCATTGCTCCCCAGAGTTGCCTGGGATGTAGCTACAGGGCTTCTGCCTCCTTCAGACCCAGGTTTAGCTGTGGGGGTTCAGACACCCCTTAGTCAGGGCCTTTGCCTCTGTGAGGGCAGATAGAAGCCTGGGTAATTATGGGCAAAGCCCTGTGGGCCTGTGGCAGGGGCAGAACCTTAGAAGGGCTGCAAGGGGGAGGGGCAAGGCCTTTTCTTGGAGAGTCACCTGACTACAGCTGTCCTGTTCCTCAGGTGTCTGCAGGAGGATGTGGGGGATGTGGGCTTCGTGAGTCATATGACGGTGTTAGGTAAGTGCTGGATGGAGAAAGAATCACCTGGGCCACAAACCGGCCATGGGAACTGGTTTTTGCCCGAAAGTTTGCTTATAACCAGAGATGAGTAATGACAAGATCTTTAAAGAAATGGAAGAGTTTTCATATAAAAACATTTCTGTTATTTGTACCCTGTTTAGGGCTCTATTTGTTCAGTCTATAAATCTATGAAACACATTTTCTGAACATTTAAACAGTACTTGACAACTAATAAAACAAAATGAGTTTTAAGAATCAAATTCTTTTAGTCATCGAAATATCAATTTCAAATTTAATCACGTTCTCCTGAATGCTTTGTTATAAATGGCTCCTAAATGCTTCAAATACCTTAAGCAAACACACAAATTATCATAATGATTTCAGAATTTATTAGCACGCGTTCAGTTAAATCCATTGCAAAAGCATTATTACCATGGACAAAAATGTATTTCTTCTTTATTCCTATGTAAAGAAAAAATACTTTCTAAAGTTTTGGGCAATTATCAGAAACAAACAAACGAAATACTTTTTCAGACAATTTGAGGTCACCAATTTGGGGTTTTATAAGCAATTAAATTTCTATCAAGTACGAAACACACTTGTATCACTCGAAATGTTTAAAACCAAATGTATATTCACTATACTATACTAGATTCATTCAATGAAAGTAATGTTTGCTACCTCAAGGAAAATTTTAAGTCCTTATTTTTTACATGGGCTTTAGTTCCTCATAACCTACTTCTTCCTTTAACACGAAATAGGAGTTTCGTGCACGTTGTTCTCTTGTTCAGCCATTCACAATGCACTGTCCCCTCATTACCACACACTGACCTGGTTTGTTGGCGTTTTGGCAATTGATACATGTCTTATTATCAGTAATTTTAACGAGTGGGGTCATCTATGGGTTTCATCTGCCAGGATAGGGTTGTTCCAAATAATTGTCATTGTTATTTACTCTGGTTGCTCCAGTTACCACAGTTATGTCAGTGGGAGGCATTTTCTAACACTCACCCTACAGCATTTGAAAAGAACCTCACTTTCTGGAAACAACAGGTTGTCCCAGAACATGCCGATTTATCTTTGCTGAAAGTCACTTTTCCACTGTTATACAAGTTCCCTTATTACCTTTTAAGTAGAAGTTTATAAGCGACAACCCACAGGGCTTTAGGGGTGAAAATGAGTGTTGGTACTTAGCTGCTACCACCCCTGGGCCCTTGAGTGACTGAAGCGGAAAAGCGATTTTTGAAACTATTAGATCATATTGATTCTTTAAATTTAATTCTAACGACTAAATCATTTTAATTTTTGCTTTTAATATAAAGATTTTAAATGTATTTTCTCCATGACATACTTAACTAAAATTGTAACCATTCACAAGAGCTCTATTGGGCTCCTTCTCTTTCAATGTGAGATTTTATCAACCCCAAAGACCTAAAAGTTAGCTAGGACTACCATATCAAAGTCCCACAAACTGGGCGGCTGAAGCAACAGAAATTTATTGTTGTTTAATTTTGCCTCATAGAGTTCTAGAGGCTAAATTTCAAGGTCAAGATGTTGGCAGGGTTGGTTCCTTCTGAAGGCCAGGAGGGAGAATCTGTTTCTTGTCTTTCTCCAGCTTCCGGTGGTTTGCTGGCAATCTTTGGTAATCCTTGGCTTGTAGTTGCCTCACCCCAATCTCCGTCTTTCTTTTCACGTGGCATTCCTTCTGTGTGCATGTCTGTCTGTGTTCAAGTTTCCTCTTTTTTATAAGGACACCAATCATACTGGATACCAGTCATACCTGGCCACCCCAATCCAGTAAGATCTCATCTTAACTAATTACATCTGCAATGCCGATTGCCAAACAAGGTTACAGGACTTCAACATACGAATCTTGGGGGGATACAGTTCAACCAAGAACACCTTCTAATAGCGAGACAAGGGGAACCGAAGAGCTTGTTTTTCTTACGAGGTTTTCTGGTCCTTCTTTGTACCTATAAGAATGCCCTGCCTGGGCCCCTAGGCCTCTGTCCATCCCTCAACGCTTCTACCACCTTTTTCCAGCCACTTCTATCTTCAGGGGAGTGTTGCACAGTGGGGGACCTGGGTTGTCCTAGCATGGCAATGTGTCAGGCTTAGATTAGCGGAGAGTTTGACAAGTTACCTCAACTCTCTAAACCTGTTTCCGCCTCTCTAGAATGGGATAATCACATGACTGGCCTCCCCCAGCTTTTATGAGGATTAAATGACAGAGCACAGAGGAACTTCAGCACAGTCTTTGGTGTGCTGTGAGTGCTCAGCAAACATTTGCTGTCACCTTTCATATTAGCAGAGCCATAGGGACAGAGGAAGCCAGAGGGCCTCGGGCCAAGCATGCCTCCCAGCCCTGTGTCTGTCTGCACTGAGAGTCAGTCATTTCATCTCCTGAGGCCTCACGGTCCTCACCTGTAGAAAATGTATCTGGAAAAGATTCTCTTTCAGTCCTCTTCGGGTTGTTAAAAGAATTATTAAAGAAGACAATTTAGGTGACATAAACAAACTTTATTAACACTTTATGAAGCAGGCAGAACTGCAAACGGAGGAGGAAGCTAAGAGGTTTTTATAGGATAAAGAATAAAGAACAAGGGAGAGACAAATAAAAACTATCTGATTGGCTAGGACCATATAGCCAACATTGTTTGGGGTGAGAAGGAACAAAGAAAGTGGTGTAGAGCCCAGAGCTGGCTTGGCGTTTGGAGTCTGGCTGGATGCTGCGTTTCTGGTCAAGCAGAGAGTTTACAGGGACGTGGAAGTTATCTAAGTTTCAGATTATTGATGTGGTATCCTGGGCAAGAGCAGTTCCATCCTGGCTTAGAAAGTTATTTCAACAAGGTCAAATAGTTTGTGATTCAGTGAGGAAGGGGGACCGCAGCCGAAGGCTGTGCCTGTAGTCAGTCAGCTCCTCTGGGCTTTTCTCCCCCAGAGAACCTGGCACGCCAGGCTGACAGGGACCAGTATGAGCTGCTCTGCCTGGACAACACCCGGAAGCCAGTGGACAAATATGAGGAGTGCTACCTGGCCCAGGTCCCTTCTCATGCCATCGTGGCTCGAAGTGTGGGCGGCAAAGAGGACTTGATCTGGGAGCTTCTCAACCAGGCCCAGGTACCACCATCAACCACCCTTCCCTCCTGCTGGGTGGCGGGGGGCGGGGGGCGGTGGTCTCTGCTTGGATTCTGGGTATTTTCTTTCCTTCTCTGATAGCCACTCTGGAAGTCCTTCTGGGTTCAGGACACAGCAGGAACCACACCACATATCATCCTCTTCACTGAAAGCCACCCAGTCTGTGTATGTTATAGACGGCAAAGGCCATAAAACCTTCGCCTAGCGACAACAACAACAAAAAACTGTGCAGAAGTTCCTCATTGCCCCACGGTGTTCTTTTCAGTTCTAAACTGATCCTCAGGATGCAGTGCAGATGTCCCTTCCCCATGAAGTGCTCTCCTATTATCCTATTGGCTTGTGATCCCACTCTCCTGACTTCCCTCAGAGGCAGGTACCCCTCCATGAGCATCCTTCTCTCTGTCCTGAGTTGGCAGCAGTCCCTCCTAGCCAGCCCTCATTCATCACCCTGTCCCATCCCTGTCAGCACTCTCTGTTCAGCACTGGGGGTTCAGAGATGAACTAGACACAGACCTGCTCTCGAGTTGCTCACAGACAAATGTGGACACATACAAATGATCACCAATGGGATGGCACAACCTTGAAGACATGGATTATGTACTTTGCAGAGGACAGAGGGACTGATATGCAGGGTGTACCTGGGAGGATTCCTGGGCCCTGGGGAATAAGCTATGTGCACCCCAAGGAAGTGTGGGGGGTTTACCAGAAAAGGCAGCAGGAACATTTCTTGCAGAGCCACTGCAAGAGCAAAAAGCAGACAGACGTTGGAAAGAGCATGCGGGTAGGTGGTGCCATCAGCTACAGTCAGGAACAGCTTTGGGCCAGTCAGCGGGAGTCATAGGCAAAGGGCCCTTTGTTTTTCTGGAAGCCAAAAGGGAGAAGGGTCTGCCTGAAATCCTTCTGTGGCATGCCTAGGGTGGGAGAGGAGCCCAGGACTCTTGACCTCTGGCCTCAATGTCAGGGTTTAGATCATCAGCTGCTCCAGGATAAAGACCACCAGAGCCACTTCGGGCAATCAGACGGCCAGGACTGAGGCAGCCTTCACTGACTGCCCTGTGGGAACACAGCATTGGAGAGGGCCAGCTGCCTGGCACATGGCAACCTCTAGCCCCTTCATACAGATCTCGGGGAAGCCCCTGGCAGTTTCCCTGAGGCCGTACAAGGCAGACAAGCTGGGATTTGAGTAAAGCATTCCCTGGAGAGAGACTTGAGAGCCTCGTGAGTCACGGAACTTCAGACGGCCTTGGCCACTGTATTCACTCTCGGGCAGTCATGCTTTTCTCCCTTTCTGTGTTCCTTGTCTGGTTTCGGGTTTGTTTTCCCTTTGCCTCTCTGTGCCAGCCTCCCGCCTTCACTGTTTCTTCTTATTCTTTGAACAGGAAAATTTTGGGAAAGCCAAGTCAGCAGGGTTCCAGCTCTTCAGCTCTCCTCATGGGAAGGACCTGCTGTTTACGGATGCAGCCCATGGGTTTTTAAGAGTCCCACCTAAGATGGATGCTAAGCTGTACTTGGGATATGAGTATTTTGCTGCTATTCAGCATCTATGGAGAGGTGTGTAAGGTCCTGGGAGGGCAGTGGGGCAGAGTGGGGGTCATAGAGGCTGTCCCGGTGCCTGCAAGCCTCCCTTCACCCAACCTTCACTGGCCTGCAGAGCCCAAGGGAGCTACCAACTGCACTGGGTTAATGAGGGGATTTTCTGCTGAGCTGGGGAAAAGGGCCTACTTAACTTCAGATTACAGACAACTGGGAGTAATGATGGTTCTGGCTTCTTTGTATTAACCAGAGTCGCCCTACCCAACAACAGGTCTCTTCGACAGGGAAAATCGCCCTCCTAAACTGAAGTGGGAACACGGCCTCTGCTGCCATCAGAAGCAGAACTAGAATTTTGGACGGTTTTAATCCATCTCTTGCCTTCCTCTCAATCCCTATAGTTCATTTCTTCCTTCTTTCTCTCTTTTTTTCTCCTCTATTTAGTCAACCACTAGTGATTGCACATCTACAAAAGCCACTCACTATGTTAGATGTGGGCACACAGTGGTGAGTGAAGATATTAGGTGAGGGGAGAGCAAGCGGGCCCCCCCAGAAGGGAACACATGACGACCAACTGGGGAACAGTCCCTGGGTGGGAGAACCCAGTCCTGTAAGAGAAAACCCCAGAAGGCTCTGAGCTGGGCTGCTGTTGAGAGGCCTCCCCAGTGGAGGAGATGATGCCTGGGGACGTGAGGGGAGTGTTCTGCCTTCACTGCTCTTTCTGAGAACCAAGTTCATCATTTCTCCTGGCGGATGAAGGGCAGGAATGAGTGGCGACGTGGGCATGAGACTGCTGCTGTCAGCGAGGGCCTCATTGGGCAGCCACTCTGTAGCCAGTGGCACTCACCCCCCAGACCCATTTTCAAGCTCTGTCTGGATCCCTGACTCTCCTGCACCCCTCCTAGGTGCAGAAGACCCCCAGAGGGTGCAGTGGTGTGCAGTGGGCCACCACGAGAGGGCCAAGTGCGATGAGTGGAGTGCCGTGAGTGGTGGTGCCTTGCGGTGCACCACAGAGGAGACCATCGAAGACTGCATAGCTGCCATTGTGGTAAGCAGGGCCCTGCCGCCACAGCTGGGCTCAGACACCCAGACACATGGCGCTTTTGCCGAGTCTTCCCAGACACCTTCCCCTCAGCCTCAAGGCTGAGATGCAACTGTTGTGTGCTGACCCCACCATCCAAAGCCCCACCCCACCCCATCCCACTCCACCTCACATGCCCTCTGAACTCAGGGCCTGGCAGAAACAAAGAGCCAGCCCAAGGCCCAGATTTCTTTGGTGCTCAGTTCTGGTGACCGGGGAGCTGAGTGGTGTCCTGCCTAGGACCTGTAGGAAGTGGGGTGACATCCCAGGATGCGGTCAGGGCCCTGTGGATTGTGAAAGCAAATCAACTTTTTAGTCCTTTAGTTGAAAGTTTAATTTTTTTTCTGGTGATAAAAAATATTACACCCTGGAAGAGAAATAAAAAAGAAATAATATTCACAACTTCATAACTCGCAGATCATCACCACATAATTTTTGAGTTATAAAGTTATGTTATTAACTTTCCATTTCTCTGTGAACAGATAATACTTTTGTGATTAGAAAAAATAAATTCATAAGTAAAACACTGAAAATTTGACAAACTTAGAAGACATACAGACTTTTCTTAGAAAAAAAGATTCTAATTTTAGTAAACCTCCCTGAGACCAACCCATAAGATTAAGATCTTGCAATTTATACAGTCTCCTAAATTTGTCATCTATAAAGATGAAATGAATTCGAGTGCTCATAACATGTCCAGGCATATAGGAAGTAGACAATAAACGTTAGCTATTGTCATTATTACTTAAATTCTTGAGCACAGTTGGTGTACTTTGTTAGATAATGAAGTATTCATTTAAAATGTTTTTAGGGAGAGGTAGATAAGGGTAAAGGGGGTCAAATATATGGTGACAGAAGGAAATTTAACTTTGGGTGGTAAACACACAATGCAATATACATATGATGTATTACTGAATTGTATACTTGAAACCTATATAATTTTATTAATGTCACCCAATAAGTTTTAAAAATATATATTTTTAATGGCTGTATAATATTCTACCAAGTATTTCTGCCTTTATTTAACCAATGCTTGAAACCTATATAATTTTATTAATGTCACCCAAAAAGTTTTAAAAATATATATATTTTAATGGCTGTATAATATTCCACCAAGTATTTCTGCCTTTATTTAACCAATTTCTAAATGTCTAAATTTGAAATATTTCCAAATTATTTTCTATTATAGATAATACAAGAGTGAAGATTTTGTTCTTTAGCTGTCAATATTTCTGAGTATGTGTTTAATATTAATGACAGCTAATATTTCTGGAGTTACTTACTATGTGCCAAGCATGTTTATGAACTCTTAACTTGATTAACTCATTCAATCCTCATGATAAACCCCATGAGGTAGATTTTTCACCCATTCTATGGTGGATAAAATGAGTGAAAATGTCTGCAGAACAGTGTTTAGGGATGTGTCCTTTGGAGTAGTCCTTCCTGGAGGCTGCATGGCATAGTGGTAATGAGCAGAAGCTAAGGAATTAAACTACCTACGTTTAAGTCTTAGTGGCTTCATATTTATTGGACAAATTATTTAACCCCTCTCTGCTTCAGTTTACTACTGTATAAAAGAGAGGAAATTATAGTACCTATCTTATTGGGTTTTATGAGGAATACAGGAGGGAATCACTATAAAGTGTTTAGAAAAGGTCTTGGCACATGGTAAGAACACGGCTAGTTTTTCCTTCTATAATTGCTGCTGTCTTAAATAGTAGATTTAAAAAGAAATAGATTTCTAGAAAGGCAGTTAACAGATCAAAGGCAAAGTGTGTGTATGTCTCTGTGTGGTTTTTTTTTTATCAATGACCTTATTTATGACTGTAAGTATACATTTTTTGCTCTGTTGGAAAAATTCATTCATTAAAATAAGTTAATTATTATGGCATACCTTGTTTTATTGTGCTTTGCTTTATTGAGCTTTGTAGATATTGGATTTTTTTGCAGATTGAAGGCAAGATCCTCCACCAGCAAAAAGATTAAGACTTGCTGAAGGCTCAGCTGATGGTTAGCATTTTTTAGCAATATAGTATTTTTTATTAAAGTATGTGCATTGCTTTTTAGACATATGCTATTGCACACTTAATAGACTACAGTATAGTGTAAACATAACTTTTACATGCTGTGGGAAACTAGAAAATCTGTGTGACTTGCTTTATTGTGATATTCGATTTATTGCAATATTCAATTCATTATGGTGGTCTGGAACCAAACTACAATATCTCTGAGGTATGCCTGTAATGAATTATTTAAGTAGACAAATTATGTATTGAAAATTTTTGCTTGTCGGGCCTCTGAGTGTAATGTTAGTGGAGTTATGGGAACAGAATCGAACTCTGCCATATGGAAGAACACACGTTCCATAGGAACAGATTAATGCAGTCTTTGAGTCTGGCCATGTGGATTGTTGAGTGACAATGCTATAGTGTAGATATAGCGAGAGTATGTCCAGCAGTCAGCATGGATCTCATGAGAAAACAGAGATGTTCAAGGAGCATGACCTGGGTTGGGCTCTTGCTCCTGGGTCAACAAGCCAAACGCATGTCCATTTTTCTAAATCCATGTTTATGTGGCCGGAGCTTTGGGGGTGAGCTACGATTTGGTTAATCACAAGGACATGTGACATGAAGCCAGTGAGGTGGAAACCTCTGAGGGTCAGTGAGAAAAATAACAGCCTCATTGTTGTGCTATTGATTTATTTCTTAACTTCAGAAAGGAGAAGCTGATGCCATGACCTTAGATGGAGGATTTATCTACACGGCAGGCAAGTGTGGTCTGGTGCCTGTCCTGGCAGAGAACTACAGTAAGTGGAGGGAAGTGTCTCTCTCTGTTTTATTCCTTCTGGACCATGGACTTAGAAAGAGGAAATAATTTAGTTCATTGTTGAGATGATAATAACTATTGCTGGAACGTAGGAAGCTAGTAGACAATATCCCTCTTCCCTGATGTCAGAACCAATTAAGATATAGACACAAGAGTTAGGCGAAAAGAGATCAACGTAACACCTTTATTACTGAAATAGTGATATGGGCACGGTGTAGAGCTGGTCACAAGGCTTGCCGAATTGCCCTTGAGTTAGAGTTGCCCACTAATTCAGGAGAATGGGTCTGTTGGCGTACTCTATGGCTGAGGGCAGAGGAAAACACATTTTGTCATAGGTGAGAAGCTCTAAATCACTCACTGTCTTCAATAAAGAAATAAGAGGCTGAGCCACATGTCTCTAGATCCTTTTGCCAAATTTACTAATCCAGAATTAACTCATGCCAGCTGCACTGGAAGGCTGAGGGATGGGGCCCCAAGGTCATGCTCTTTAGTGGGGATCCATCCACATGAAAAAATAAAGCTGAGGAAAAGAAGATTTCACCAATATCACTTATTAAACACCTCATCTGTTAGGCAGTGAGTGACATCCCATACATTATCCTTCAAAACAACTCTGTGAAGCAAATAGTGGTATCTCTATTTTACAGATATAAAAGCTAAGGCTTAGAGAAGTTAAATGATGTGTCCAAAGCAGAATAAAGATTGCACCAGGGCTTTCTGACTCCATGGACTGGTTCTTTCTCCTCCGACATAGCAATAATATAATGATTGCCTACCAGTCCACAGCTCTGAAGTAAAGAAAGATATTGTGATGACTTGAATTACATAGCAAATGCAGAAGGATCTTTGTCAAGACCTTCAGTGGTTTCTGTCCCCTTTCAAAGGGCATCTCATTTTCTTTCTCTGCATCTGCCTGAATATCGGGGAGATTCTGGGATGGAGCCTAATGTTCAGATGGCAAAGATCAGGGGAAGAGGAGGTAAAACGGACTGTAGAATCTTAGTTCGTTGATGACCACTGATAAACTGCTTAGTTGGTGTTTCTCCTCATTTGTTCTTAACTCTTGTGATTGAGAAGTTCATGACTTTCGATTGAGTAATGTGAGAATTTAGTGCCATGTACCACAATTGTTTTTATTTTCTTCTTAGTGCCTAAGGATGGCAATGAGCAGCTTGGGTCCAAATGTGTGAATACACCCATGGAAGGTGAGTCAGACTCAGTAACACTGGAACTCAAAGGGAAAGGCCTGTTCTTTGGGAAAATAAGGTGAGGAAACCCTTAAAAATAAATAAAATTACTAGAGTTGTAAAAACAATAAAGAAGAAGAAGGAGTAGGAGTAGGAGTAGGAGGAGAAGAAGACACCACAGTTAATTATTAAGGAATGAATCTGTTATGAAGCTGTAATAACAATAACTATTTATTTGTAGGGTACTTTACAGTCGACAAAAGACTCCTGCTTGCATGGTTCCCTTTTATTCTTCTCAGCAATCCTATAGGATGTGGGCATCACTGTCTTGTGTTATATAGATGAGCAGAGAGGGTCCGTATCTGTCCCTGAAGTACCTAATCTTGGGCATTAGCTAGAGCAGTGGTTCTTCATCTGATGTAGTGCCTAGACCAGTTGCATCAGCATCACCTGAGAACTTGTTAGAAATGAAAATTCTTGGGCCTCACCCAGACCTACTGAGTCAAACTCCAAGGATGGGGCAACTGCTCTGTGTTTTAATAAGCCCTCAGCCGACTCTGATGCACCTTAGATTTGAAAACATCTCCGATGGCATATCCTGTGATGCAAACAGGTGCTCATTGGATTTGGAGTTTCTTTTTATTTAATCTTTTTTTCTAATTTTAAAATTTTAATTAAAGTATAGTTGGCATACAATATTATATTAGTTTCAGGTGTGTGACAGTGATTTGACATTTATATATCTTACAATATGCTCACCACATTAAATCTGGTGACCATCTGTTACGGTGCAAAGTTACTGCACTATTATTGACTATATTCTCCTGCACCTTTTTCACCCTTTACTCCACCACACTCCCCTCTGGCAACCATCAGTTTGTTCTTTGTTTCTATGAGTTTGTTTTTGTTTTGTTTTGCTTGTTTGTTTTTATTTTTAAAAATTCCACATAAAAGTGAAATAATGTGGTATTTTTGTCTGACTTATTTCACATATTGCCACAAATGGCAATATTTCCTTTTTTATTGCTGAGGAATATTCCATTATATATCACAAATTCTTTTACCATTCATCTGTTGATGTATATCAGGTTGCTTCCATATCTCGGCTATTGTAAATAATGCTGCAATAAACATAGGGATGCATATTTCTTTTTGAACTCATGTTTTCATTTTCTTTGGATAAATACCTAGAACTGGAATTGCTGAGTCATATGATATTTCTATTTTTAGTTTTTTGAAGAATCTCCGTACTGTTTTCTATAGTAGCTTCACCAATTTACAATTCCACCAACAGTGCACAAATGTTCCCTTTTCTCCACATCCTCGTTACACACTTATTTGTTGACTTTTTGATAAGAGCCATTCTGACTGGTGTAAGATGGTATCTCATTATGGTTTTGATTTGTATTTCCCTGATGATTAGTGATGTTGAGCATCTTTTCATATGTCTGTTGGCCATTTTTATGTCTTCTTTAGAGAAATGTGTCTTCATGTTCTTGGCTCATTTTTTGATTGGATCGTATATTTTTTTGTTATTGAGCTGTATGAATTTTCTTACATATTTTGGGTAGCAAAGCCTTATTAGATATATCATTTACAAATATATTCTCCCATTCAGTAGGTTGTCTTTTTGTTTTGCTGGTTTCTTTTGCTCTGCAGAAGCTTTTTAGTTTGATGAAGTCCTATTTGTTTATTTTTACTTTTATTTCCTTTGCTCGAGGGGAAATACCAAAAAAGTAATAACAAAAAAGATATCACTAAGACATGTCATATAGTTTACTGCCTATGTGTTCTTCTAGGAGTTTTATGGTTTCAGGTCTTATATTTAAGCCTTTAATAATTTTGAGTTTATTTTGGTATATGGTATAAGAGAGGGGTTCAGTTTCATTTTTTTGCATATATCCAGTTTTCTCAACACCACTTCTTGAAGAGATGATCATTTCTTCATTGTATATTTTTGCTTCCTTTGTCATAGATTAATTGAACAAATAAGCGAGGGTTTCTTTCTGGGCTCTCTATTATGTTCCACTGATATATGTGTCTGTTTTTGTGCCAGTACCATACTGTTTTGATTATTAGAGCTTTGTCATATAGTTTGAAATCAGGGGGTGTGGGTTTGAAATTTCTTATGAGATAGGCAAGCTGGGGGAGGTGGGTGGGTTTGGAGCACCACGGCATAAGCAGCATCTGTTTCCTGCCAAGCATGGGGTCATAGAAGCCCTGCACCACTTACCTTTCACAAAGGCCTCAGAAGTATAAAGCTGCTCGCCCTGCAGCTTCCCTTCATGTGCAACAAGATCCAAGCCCTAGGATATGTTGCCCCTCTCTCCTCTCTGCTTTCATGGCTAACAGTCTTTTTTGAATTGTGTCTTTAACCCCAACCCAAAGGACTGGCATTTCTTCAACCATGTAGTCTATTGTGATTATAGAATATAGGAAATCAGAAAAAAAACTAACTGCTTCAAGAGTAGTTGAAATTTCTAGGAACTGCAGTGATATGCAAATATAGGTCAGCAAGGATGCTTAATATACAATTCAAGGTTGCTGACTGTGATGGAGAAGGTTAGATCTGAATAGACATGGAGAGGAGTTAACCCCAAAGCCACACATAACGGATGATAATAATGCCATTTGTGCAGAAAGAGTTACATCTCAAGACAGCACTGTAACAGTGTTTGGCTCTGGTAACAGTGTTTGGGTTGGTGTAACAGGGCACAGTCTGACACGCAGGGCTTGTTGTGGCCTGAGGAGAATCTGCTTCACAAAGAGAGAGGCTCTGGTACCGCTTCTACCACTAACAACATGGCTGGAAACCTATTGATGTAACCTCCTCTTCCCATTCCTAACATATGATGTGCTCATATTAGCACATCTGATCCCCTTAAGAAACTCTCTGGGATGTGTATCATTTTCACCATTTTATTGAGGAGAAATTCAGGATCCTAGATGCTAAGTGACTTGTCCGAGGCCATTTAGGAAGTAACTGGTGAGGTAGGTGTTCCACCTGCCATGTTGACTCCCAACTTTTCCAGGTTTGAATATACAGAGATCTGAACCACAACTTTTTTTTGAGTGTGTGTTTGTGTGTGTTGGGGGAGGGTTCGGGGTTTGGAGCATTGGAAGTGGTGGTGGTGAACCACATTATCTTCTAATTCTGAAGATTCGTGATTCTAGTCTTGTAATAAATTCACTTTTACACTTTAGGCCTTGCTCAATAAGTACAATCCAGTTACATAATATTGGGATAGGAAGAAATGAAACATCAGTGGTCTTCCCATTAGAATCAGGAACAAGACAAGAAGGCTTACCCCTATCAAAGATATCTGGCATTATTTTGGAAGTGAATGCAGTAAGATAAGAAAAAGAGATTTCTTTTTTAA